AATTCTTGCCGAAACTGCACACGAAATCACTCCCTATGAAAGCAAAAGACTCGGCAGGAGATGCAACATTCCCACACTGTATGCTCAAGGCATACAAGGTTACAACCTATACAGATGTGACAGAGTGAACAGGCAAAAGGGGGGGGGGGTTGGCCTGTACATTGCAGAGTCACTTGTTTGCACAGAACTGCTAAATGCCTCAAATGATGTAGTGGAAGTTTTAGCAGTAAAGCTCGAGAACCAAAACCTAGTCATTGTGATAGTCTACAAGCCTCCGGATGCAACATCCCAGCAATTCCAGGAACAGCTGTTAAAAATTGACCACTGTCTGGAAAACCTTCCAGCTCCTGCACCCAACATCTTGCTCCTGGGGGATTTCAACTTAAGGCACCTAAAATGGAGGAATATAGCAAATAATATTGTTGCAGTAATAACACCAGGAGGCAGCTCTGATGAAAACTCACACTCACGCAAGCTTTTAAATCTCTGCACAAAATTCAATTTAAACAGCAAATAATAGAGCCTACTAGACTGGAGAATACACTAGACCTCATCTTCACTAACAATGATGATCTGATAAGAAATATCACCATATCAAAAACAATATACTCAGATCACAACATAATTGAGGTTCAGTCATGTATGCGCGGAGCCCCAGACCGACATAATGAGATTAGTCACGAGGGAGCATTCACCAAATTCAACTTCAATAACAAAAACATAAAGTGGGACCAAGTAAACCCAAATCCTAACCGATATAAGCTGGGAAGATATACTAAGCAAAACAGACCCCAACTTATGCCTAGAACAGATTAACTCGGTGGCACTCGATGTATGCACAAGGCTTATTCCTCTAAGAAAAAGGAGGAGTAGATGTAAAACAGAAAGAGACAGGCGCTCCCTTTACAGGCGACGGAAAAGAATAACAGAGCGGCTAAAAGAGGTCAATATATCTGAAATGCGTAGGGAGACACTGGTCAGAGAAATAGCAAGCATCGAACTTAAGCTAAAGAATCCTTTAGGAGTCAGGAATCGCGGGAAGAACTAAAAGCCATAAATGAAATCGAAAGAAACCCAAAGTATTTCTTCTCCTATGCCAAATCAAAATCGAGAACAACGTCCAGTATTGGGCCCTACTTAAACAAGATGGGTCTACACAGATGACAGCAAGGAAATGAGTGAGCTACTCAAGTCCCAATATGACTCAGTTTTTAGCAAGCCGCTAACCAGACTGAGAGTCGAAGATCAAAATGAATTTTTTATGAGAGAGCCACAAAATTTGATTAACACAAGCCTATCCGATGTTATCCTGACGCCAAATGACTTCGAACAGGCGATAAATGACATGCCCATGCACTCTGCCCCAGGGCCAGACTCATGGAACTCTGTGTTCATCAAGAACTGCAAGAAGCCCCTATCACGAGCCTTTTCCATCCTATGGAGAGGGAGCATGGACACGGGGGTCGTCCCACAGTTACTAAAAACAACAGACATAGCCCCACTCCACAAAGGGGGCAGTAAAGCAACAGCAAAGAACTACAGACCAATAGCACTAACATCCCATATCATAAAAATCTTTGAAAGGGTCCTAAGAAGCAAGATCACCACACATCTAGAAACCCATCAGTTACACAACCCAGGGCAACATGGGTTTAGAACAGGTCGCTCCTGTCTGTCTCAACTATTGGACCACTACGACAAGGTCCTAAATGCACTAGAAGACAAAAAGAATGCAGATGTAATATATACAGACTTTGCAAAAGCCTTCGACAAGTGTGACCATGGCGTAATAGCGCACAAAATGCGTGCTAAAGGAATAACAGGAAAAGTCGGTCGATGGATCTATAATTTCCTCACTAACAGAACACAGAGAGTAGTCGTCAACAGAGTAAAGTCCGAGGCAGCTACGGTGAAAAGCTCTGTTCCACAAGGCACAGTACTCGCTCCCATCTTGTTCCTCATCCTTATATCCGACATAGACAAGGATGTCAGCCACAGCACCGTGTCTTCCTTTGCAGATGACACCCGAATCTGCATGACAGTGTCTTCCATTGCAGACACTGCAAAGCTCCAGGCAGACATCAACCAAATCTTTCAGTGGGCTGCAGAAAACAATATGAAGTTCAACGATGAGAAATTTCAATTACTCAGATATGGTAAACATGAGGAAATTAAATCTTCATCAGAGTACAAAACAAATTCTGGCCACAAAATAGAGCGAAACACCAACGTCAAAGACCTGGGAGTGATCATGTCGGAGGATCTCACCTTCAAGGACCATAACATTGTATCAATCGCATCTGCTAGAAAAATGACAGGATGGATAATGAGAACCTTCAAAACTAGGGAGGCCAAGCCCATGATGACACTCTTCAGGTCACTTGTTCTATCTAGGCTGGAATATTGCTGCACACTAACAGCACCTTTCAAGGCAGGTGAAATTGCCGACCTAGAAAATGTACAGAGAACTTTCACGGCGCGCATAACGGAGATAAAACACCTCAATTATTGGGAGCGCTTGAGGTTCCTAAACCTGTATTCCCTGGAACGCAGGAGGGAGAGATACATGATTATATACACCTGGAAAATCCTAGAGGGACTAGTACCGAACTTGCACACGAAAATCACTCACTACGAAAGCAAAAGACCTGGCAGACGATGCACCATCCCCCCAATGAAAAGCAGGGGTGTCACTAGCACGTTAAGAGACCATACAATAAGTGTCAGGGGCCCGAGACTGTTCAACTGCCTCCCAGCACACATAAGGGGGATTACCAACAGACCCCTGGCAGTCTTCAAGCTGGCACTGGACGAGCACCTAAAGTCGGTTCCGGATCAGCCGGGCTGTGGCTCGTATGTTGGTTTGCGTGCAGCCAGCAGCAACAGCCTGGTTGATCAGGCTCTGATCCACCAGGAGGCCTGGTCTCAGACCGGGCCGCGGGGGCGTTGACCCCCGGAACTCTCTCCAGGTAAACTCCAGGTAAGAAAAAGAAGTAGATGTAAAATAGAAAGAGACAGGCGCTCCCGTTACAGGCGACGGAAAAGAATAACAGAGCGGCTAAAAGAGGCCAATATATCTGAAATGCGTAGGGAGTCACTGGTCAGAGAAATAGCAAACATCGAACTAAAGCTAAAGGAATTTTATAGGAGTCAGGAATCGCGGGAAGAACTAAAAGCCATAAATGAAATTGAAAGAAACCCAAAGTATTTCTTTTCTTATGCCTGGAGTTTACCTGGAGATAGTTCAGGGGGTCAACGCCCCCGTGGCCCGGTCTGTGACCAGGCCTCCTGGTGGATCAGAGCCTGATCAACCAGGCTGTTACTGTTGGCTGCACGCAAACCAACGTACGAGCCACAGCCCGGCTGGTCAGGAACCGGCTTTAGGTGCTTGTCCAGTGCCAGCTTGAAGACTGCCAGGGGTCTGTTGGTAATCCCCCTTATGTATGCTGGGAGGCAGTTGAACAGTCTCGGGCCCCTGACACTTATTGTATGGTCTCTTAACGTGCTAGTGACACCCCTGCTTTTCATTGGGGGGATGTTGCATCGTCTGCCAAGTCTTTTCCTTTCGTAGTGAGTGATTTTCGTGTGCAAGTTCGGTACTAGTCCCTCTAGGATTTTCCAGGTGTATATAATCATGCATCTCTCCCGCCTGCGTTCCAGGGAATACAGGTTTAGGAACCTCAAGCGCTCCCAGTAATTGAGGTGTTTTATCTCCGTTATGCGCACCGTGAAGGTTCTCTGTACATTTTCTAGGTCAGCAATTTCACCTGCCTTGAAAGGTGCTGTTAGTGTGCAGCAATATTCCAGCCTAGATAGAACAAGTGACCTGAAGAGTGTCATCATGGGCTTGGCCTCCCTAGTTTTGAAGGTTCTCATTATCCATCCTGTCATTTTTCTAGCAGATGCGATTGATACAGTGTTATGGTCATTGATGGTGAGATCCTCCGACATGATCACTCCCAGGTCTTTGACGTTGGTGTTTCGCTCTATTTTGTGGCCAGAATTTGTTTTGTACTCTGATGAAGATTTAATTTCCTCGTGTTTGCCATATCTGAGTAATTGAAATTTCTCATCGTTAAACTTCATATTGTTTTCTGCAGCCCACTGAAAGATTTGGTTGATGTCTGCCTGGAGCCTTGCAGTGTCTGCAATGGAAGACACTATCATGCAGATTCGGGTGTCATCTGCAAAGGAAGACACGGTGTCATCCTTGTCTATGTCAGAGATGAGGATGAGGAACAAGATGGGAGCAAGTACTGTGCCTTGTGGAACAGAGCTTTTCACCGTAGCTGCCTCGGACTTTACTCTGTTGACTACTACTCTCTGTGTTCTGTTAGTGAGGAAATTATAGATCCATCGACCGACTTTTCCCGTTATTCCTTTAGCACGCATTTTGTGCGCTATTACGCCATGGTCACACTTGTCGAAGGCTTTTGCAAAGTCTGTATATATTACATCTGCATTCAAAAATTTTTGTCTTCTAGTGCATCAGAACAACATCCAATATTGGGCCCCTACTTAAACAAGATGGGTCCTACACAGATGACAGCAAGGAAATGAGTGAGCTACTTAAGTCCCAGTATGACTCAGTTTTTAGCAAGCCGCTAGCCAGACTGAGAGTCGAAGATCTAAATTATTTTTTTATGAGAGAGCCAAAGAATCTGGTAAACACAAGCCTATCTGATGTTATCCTGACACTAAATGGCTTCGAACAGGCGATAAATGACATGCCCATGCACTCTGCCCCAGGGCCAGACTCATGATGACTCATGTTCATCAAGAACTGCAAGAAACCCCTATCACGTGCTTTAACATTCTATGGAGAGGGAGCATGGACACTGGGATCGTCCCACAATTACTAAAAACAACAGACATAGAGCCACTCCACAAAGGGGGCAGCAAAGCAATAGCAAAGAACTACAGACCGATAGCACTAACATCCCATACCATAAAAATCTTTGTAAGGGTCCTAAGAGCCAACACGTGGCGACTGCCTCAGTGCTATTTTAGCGTGTGTCGTGGGTGTGTGTGTGTGTCCGCAGCTTCCTACCCACTCACCTGCTGCTCAGTTCCAAATACATAACGTAAGTTAGTTTAGTTACCTATGTAACATTAATGAGTACAGTTGTTTTCGTTATAAACTTAGCGTTTATAGTATACTCGTGTATGTATTCAGATTTTTTTTTAATTAGTGAAGTATTTGGGTGACTTCTGGCAGTAGCTTTGCAGGATAAATGCAACAACAGGAGAGAGACAAAGCCACTATAACCTTGAGATGCACTACAGTTTTGGTGGATCTTGCTTGGTATCCCCCGAAAATCACTTGTTAAAGCAACTGCTCAAGAAGAAATTTCTGGCCTAGCTGCTAGTAATAAGTTATCACAAGTTATATACACTGATGGATCTAAACAGGAGTCTTCTGGCAAGGCTGCATCTGCTCTTGTTGCCACCTCCCTAGTTAAGAACGATAATAAACTTGTTGAACTAGGCATAAGAATTAACAACTGGGGGTCTACATTGCAAACTGAATTGTTTGCAATCCTAATGGCGCTAAAGCTAACCTATGACACTGAGTTTGACTCTGTCATCATTACTGATTCTATGTCATCATTGAAGGCACTTGACTCGTATAATGACTCCAACAACATGCTCATTGGAGAAGCCAGGTATAGATACTCAAAAATCAGGGAAAACGGAATTAATGTACAATTGTTATGGATCCCATCACACATTGGATTACTCCTTCATGATAAAGTTGATATGTTAGCCAAGAAGAGTACCCAGAAGAAGAATGTAGAATATAACTTTGGTATATCTGTTTCTAGCATTAGGAATAATATTAGGAGAGAAGTAAATAATGAAAATGATTATTATAGGAATGCAGTTAGAAGCCTGAGAAGATCTATAACCCACTATGATAACATGAACGTAGATAAGTATGTTTATGGAGCAACTTGCAATGTGAACAGACTGACTGATGTTGTAGTGGCCAGGCTTAGGCTTGGTTACAAGTACTTCTGGCAGTTTGGGAGACACACACATGATGATCAAACTAAATGTAAATTATGTGATCAGGCATATGGTCACTGTCTTGAACACTATGTGCTTAATTGTCCACTTATTGAGGAATACAGAGATACAGTATAATAATCTATGTGACATGTCAAGATATCTTATTAATGAAAATAAGATACCAGATATACTAAGCAAATTTCCTAAATTTGCATGCAACAGATAAGTGAACTGTAGACATGTAGATAAATAAAAACTCATATGTACATCTGTTAACCCTTCTGGGGCCTTGTTCCTAGGCTTTGTGTGTATCCATATGCTCTTGCGCTACCATCCACAGGATGGATATGGAGTGCACAATAAACTAGACACTTCGGTGGCAAAATCTAAATCTAATCCCCGAAAGGGGCCGCTTATTGTGGTTGTCGGATTTTTTCGTCTTCCAAGGCTTTCCCTGCGATAACTGGAGAAGCCCTCTTCTGATAGATGTTAAACTTCTAAAGTTGGTGATTCACTTAGTGGAAGATGCAGATTATTAGTTAACCACTTAGATGCCAATCACGTTTTAAAAATTGTATAATTAGTGCATAAACATGTGAGAGAACCAAGGTCGGTTCGTCACTAAAATCTAGAATATATGAGTAAAACACCAGTAAGTAAGTTTATTCAGGTATACAGAAATACATTAATTATCATACATAGCAGCATGTGTAGAGAACCTAGGATAACCCAGAAAAGTAAGACAGAGTGACTTATTTCCATTGAAGTCCTTGTGATAATTATTATTTATATTTAAAAGTTAAAAACAGGTAAGTATCTTAGAGGAGAGATAAAATTAGTTATTTTCATACAAGAAATCACTCTCCTTCTTTTCTGTAGCCTTATTCATGAGGTACATTTTGGCTCTCTTCTTGAACTGGCTCATGCTATGACAGACTTTGACATGTGCAGGCAGTCTAATCCACTCTTTTATTGTTGACTAGAAAAATATCTTTGAAGCCTGACCACTGACTCTTGGTAATGCAAACAACCCACGATGTCGTAATTACACGATTGCAAACCCCGCCCGTGGTATGGTTTGGTATTGCAAAGTTTTTCTCCCTACCCCTAGTTCTGTAATTGCAGTGGTTCCCAACCTTAACAAAATTGGTGGTAAGATACTGGAGACACTGGTTGTGAGCAATTTTATAAACGTAATTTAACTTTAGTTGGTTTACTCTGTTTTCAACATTCAGCAAGTCCAGTTGTTGTAATTCATTCTGGCCTACATGCTCTCTTGGACCCAGGTCCAGAACGAATCTCAGTATGTATTATGTGCAGTATTATCCATCCGGTGATACATGCTTCTCTTGGATGTGGGGGGGGGGGTGAATGATGCCTCAGCAGAAGCTGCATGAACGCTCTCTAGGATACAATAGTATTTAATACTATTCGTTGGTAAATGAATATTTTATTAATTCTACTTAAAAATTACATGTTAGTAAGTTATGTGGTGTATTATGAATCAAAGACAATAAGCCAAGCTCATGTTCAAACCCAGTTAGCTTCTGCTCGCTCAGAAAGCCGGGTCTCGCTGCTTCATATTACCTGTAGTTTACCTGGAGATAGTTCAGGGGGTCAACACCCCCGCGGCCCGGTCTGTGACCAGGCCTCCTGGTGGATCAGAGCCTGATCAACTAGGCTGTTACTGCTGGCTGCACGCAATCCAACGTACGAGCCACAGCCCGGCTGGTCAGGTACCGACTTTAGGTGCTTGTCCGGTGCCAGCTTGAAGACTGCCAGGGGTCTATTGGTAATCCCCCTTATACTGGGAGGCAGCTGAACAGTCTCGGACCCCTGACACTTATTGTATGGTCTCTTAACGTGCTAGTGACACCCCTGCTTTTCATTGGGGGGATGTTGCATCGTCTGCCAAGTCGTTTGCTTTCGTAGTGAGTGATTTTCGTGTGCAAGTTCGGTACTAGTCCCTCTAGGATTTTCCAGGTGTATATAATCATGTATCTCTCCCGCCTGCGTTCCAGGGAATACAGGTTCAGGAACCTCAAGCGCTCCCAGTAATTGAGGTGTTTTATCTCCGTTATGCGTGCTGTGAAGGTTCTCTGTACATTTTCTAGGTCAGCAATTTCACCTGCCTTGAAAGGTGCTGTTAGTGTGCAGCAATATTCCAGCCTAGATAGAACAAGTGACCTGAAGAGTGTCATCATGGGCTTGGCCTCTCTAGTTTTGAAGGTTCTCATTATCCATCCTGTCATTTTTCTAGCAGATGCGATTGATACAATGTTATGGTCCTTGAAGGAAAGATCCTCCGACATGATCACTCCCAGGTCTTTGACGTTGGTGTTTCGCTCTATTTTGTGGCTCATGAGTAAAATGCAAAACCATTCTCGCTGAACTGTTATTTTTTTTTCTGCTGAGACTAAGTAATTCACATGTTTGTTAATTTAAACCGAATGAAGAACTTTTGTTCACTTTTGAATATATAATTTTTTCTTATGACTAGAATACTTTGGTTCTGCAAATCTACAATAAATTGTGAATTCTGTGTTTTAAATGTTAATTTAGTTTCTTTTTTTTTGCTATAAAATTTTATTAGATGGGATGCCTGGGCTGGGATAAACTTCCTTTGTGAGTTTTATGAATTATTATGTTTACCTGGAGTTTACCTGGAGAGGGTTTTCGGGGGTCAACGCCCCCGTGGCCTAGTGAGCAAATTACCTGCAGGAAGTTTACTGGGTATTACATGAATTATTATGTGCATGTAATTTGGGTGAGGTAAGTGGGACTTAATCACAGCAGGTCGCTGAACCGTCATGCCCTCGATGCCCACTCCCTACTACTCTCACAAAAAAACTAGAATTGACATTAAATTAATAATTTCAATATTTAAACCAGCTACTCTGGTAAATTAAAGTTATGTAGACTGTATGTGATTAGGCTTGCTGGGTACACAGAATATAATTATTGGACATAAATTATAAAAGTGCTATTAGAAAGGAAATTCGAATTACCACATACCATTTAATTACTGGATCATAATTATTATTTTTTTGGAAACACACCCTAACGCTACTACTACAGTTATAATTTACGATGGTCAATGCAAACTACTGTACATTATGGGTTAGCGTCACTAAACTAAGGTGTGTTCCTAAGAAGAATCGGTGTTCTCTATTTTTCCGTTCTTGTCAAAATGTAGTTTTTTCCACACTATTTATCCCAATTCTTCAGCAAGAACGTGTCAACAATTTCTAAATTATGGGTTGAGGCTGATATGCACTAATTGACCTTCGAGAACGCCTGATTACATCGCACAATTCAGGTCAGTGCTCACACATTCGGTCTCAATATGGCGTCTTCCCTTCCGCGTCACTTAGCAGGTCAAATCAGCATCACATTTTATTACGCAATTATTGTGGTGGTGTGCTCTGGTGGCTAAAGCTCTCGCTTCACACGGCGAGAGCCTGGGTTCGATTCCTAGCCAGGGTAGGAACATTGGACGTGTTTCTTTACACCTGTTGTCTATGTTCCCCATCAGTAAAATGGGTACCTGGGTGTTAGTCGACTGGTGTGGGTCGCATCCTGGGACAAAACTGACCTAATTTGCCCGAAATGCTAAGCATAACAAGGGGCTTTCTTTATAGTAGTATGTCATTGATGTCAACTAGGCCTGTACACCTTGTACATGTACTTGTAGTAAATAAAGATATTATTATTATTATTATTATTATTATTATTATTATTATTATTATTATTATTATTATTATTATTATTATTATTATTATTATTATTATTATTATTCAAATTTGCACATGCTGAATTTAGGAAACCCTGCTGGTACTGCTATTGTAAATTTCATAAGAATCTGCTGAATAAGTAAGTTGATCCCGCTTCACACACGGAGGGCCCGGGTTCGGTTCCCGGCGGGTGGAAACATTCGACACGTTTCCTTACACCTGTTGTCCTGTTCACCTAGCAGCAAATAGGTACCTGGGTGTTAGTCGACTGGTGTGGGTCGCATCCTGGGGGACAAGATTAAGGACCCCAATGGAAATAAGTTAGACAGTCCTCGATGACGCACTGACTTTCTTGGGTTATCCTGGGTGGCTAACCCTCCGGGGTTAAAAATCCGAACGAAATCTTATCTTATCTTATTCAGGAATACACAGATACAGTTACATAGATTATCATACATAGCAGCATATGTGTAGAGAACCTAGGTATTTTACAACCATGGTATTGTAAAAATAATCTTCATATAATTCCTTCAGCAGCTGTGTTCGTGTCTCAGGATGACGAAGTGTGCTGTGTGTGGGTGTCCTGCCTCCCAGCGCTGTGGCAAATGTCACCTCACAGCTTACTGTAGCAAGGATCACCAGAAGCAACATTGGAAGTCTCATCGCACTCAGTGTAGTCCCTACAAGTGAGTATCACACTTAGTGTAGTCCCTACAAGTGAGTATCACACTCAGTGTAGTCCCTACAAGTGAGTATCACACTCAGTGTAGTCCCTACAAGTGAGTATCACACTTAGTGTAGTCCCTACAAGTGAGTATCACACTCAGTGTAGTCCCTACAAGTGAGTATCACACTCAGTGTAGTCCCTACAAGTGAGTATCACACTCAGTGTAGTCCCTACAAGTGAGTATCACACTCAGTGTAGTCCCTACAAGTGAGGATCACACTCAGTGTAGTCCCTACAAGTGAGTATCACACTCAGTGTAGTCCCTACAAGTGAGGATCACACTCAGTGTAGTCCCTACAAGTGAGTACCACACTCAGTGTAGTCCCTACAAGTGAGTATCACATTCAGTGTAGTCCCTACAAGTGAATATCACATTCAGTGTAGTCCCTACAAGTGAGGATCACATTCAGTGTAGTCCCTACAAGTGAGTACCACACTCAGTGTAGTCCCTACAAGTGAGTATCATACTCAGTGTAGTCCCTACAAGTATCACACTCAGTGTAGTCCCTACAAGTGAGTACCACAGCCAGTGTAGTCCCTACAAGTATCACACTCAGTGTAGTCCCTACAAGTGACTATCACACTCAGTGTAGTCCCTACAGGTGAGTATCACAGTGTAGTCCCTACAAGTGGGTATCACACACAGCGTAGTCCCTACAAGTATCACACTCAGTGTAGTCCCTAAGTGAGTATCACATTCAGTGTAGTCTCTACAAGTGAGTATCACAGTGTAGTCCCTCCAAGTGAGTATCACACTCAGTGTAGTCCCTACAAGTATCACACTCAGTGTAGTCCCTACAAGTGAGTACCACACTCATTGTAGTCCCTACAAGTGAGTACCACACTCAGTGTAATCCCTACAAGTGAGTATCACACTCAGTGTAGTCCCTACAAGTGAGTATCACACTCAGTGTAGTCTCTACAAGTGAGTACCATACTCAGTGTAGTCCCTACGAGTATCACACTCAGTGTAGTCCCTACAAGTGAGTACCACACTCAGTGTAGTCCCTACAAGTATCACAGTGTAGTCCTTACAAGTATCACACTCAGTGTAGTCCCTACAAGTATCACAGTGTAGTCCCTACAAATGAGTATTACAGTGTAGTCCCTACAAGTGAGTATCACAGTGTAGTCCCTGCAAGTATCACACTCAGTGTAGTCCCTACAAGTGAGTATCAGTGTAGTCCCTACAAGTATCACAGTGTAGTCCCTACAAGTCAGTATCACACTCATAGTCCCTACAAGTGAGTATCACACTCAGTGTAGGCCCTACAAGTGAGTACCACACTCAGTGTAGTCCCTACAAGTGAGTACCACACTCAAAGACAAAGACAGGATGTTCCAGAGATTGGACACAGTAACAAGGGGACACAGTTGGAAGCTGAAGACACAGATGAATCACAGGGATGTTAGGAAGTATTTCTTCAGCCACAGAGTAGTCAGTAAGTGGAATAGTTTGGGAAGCGATGTAGTGGAGGCAGGATCCATACATAGCTTTAAGCAGAGGTATGATAAAGCTCACGGCTCAGGGAGAGTGACCTAGTAGCGATCAGTGAAGAGGCGGGGCCAGGAGCTCGGAATCGACCCCCGCAACCTCAACTAGGTGAGTACAAGTGAGTACCACACTCAGTGTAGTCCCTACAAGTGAGTACCACACTCAGTGTAGTCCTTACAAGTGAGTACCACACTCAGTGTAGTCCTTACAAGTGAGTACCACACTCAGTGTAGTCCCTACAAGTGAGTACCACACTCAGTGTAGTCCCTACAAGTGAGTACCACACTCAGTGTAGTCCCTACGAGTACCACACTCAGTGTAGTCCCTACGAGTACCACACTCAGTGTAGTCCCTACGAGTACCACACTCAGTGTAGTCCCTACAAGTGAGTACCACACTCAGTGTAGTCCTTACAAGTGAGTACCACACTCAGTGTAGTCCCTACAAGTGAGTACCACACTCAGTGTAGTCCCTACAAGTGAGTACCACACTCAGTGTAGTCCCTACGAGTACCACACTCAGTGTAGTCCCTACAAGTGAGTACCACACTCAGTGTAGTCCCTACAAGTGAGTACCACACTCAGTGTAGTCCCTACGAGTACCACACTCAGTGTAGTCCCTACAAGTGAGTACCACACTCAGTGTAGTCCCTACGAGTACCACACTCAGTGTAGTCCCTACGAGTACCACACTCAGTGTAGTCCCTACGAGTACCACACTCTGTAGTCCCTACGAGTACCACACTCAGTGTAGTCCATACAAGTGAGTACCACACTCAGTGTAGTCCCTACAAGTGAGTACCACACTCAGTGTAGTCCCTACAAGTGAGTACCACACTCAGTGTAGTCCCTACAAGTGAGTACCACACTCAGTGTAGTCCCTACGAGTACCACACTCGTTCATTATTCATCTTCCTGTACTTGTTTCCGCTTTTCTTACCATATACTGTACCTTATATATCCCCTTTATTATGTATCCCCTTCATTCAGACAGGGATATTTCACCGAAAAATTGACATAGATTAATCATTGTACCTAACTTTAATATCCACGTATGCAGGAGTGGTTCAAAGATCATTTTTATTGCATTAAATTGTATTGTAAGTCCGTAAATTAGTTGATAACTCCCCTTTTTAACCAGGATTTTTTTATGTATTATGTTGTAACCTGTAACTTTATTTTTATTTCCTGTTATTACTATATGGGCTCATAAAAGTAATGTACCAAACTATATAATTATTACAGGAATGCTAATTATTGTATGCTTTTGTAATGCGGTGATAAATAAAGAATCGCATTCTCGTTGAAGAATCCCCCATTATAAAGATTTTTTTGCATTTCACTGTAGCTTTTCATTACAAGTTTCCTTAACATTTGTAGTCCTTCGTTTAGCCTGTCAGATTCCACCATCTCTCACGTGTTGTTAAACGGTTGGATAGTATTCGTTTATTGGCTCAGGGAGTATTTTTACAGGCGAGAAGATTGAGGGAAGAGGGGGTTGGAAAAGCCCGAGACCTTACTGTACCAAGTCCTTTCAAGGAAAGTGTTTTGTTGCTGCTGAAGGGCTCTAGGATTTATCTCTTCCCCAGTAACATAATTTAAGAGTACTATGGCAATGTGTCCATAGTATAACATCTGTATTTCTACAAGTACATGTACAAGGTGTACAGGCCTAGCTGACATCAGTGACATACTACTATATAGAAAGCCCCTTGTTATGAGCAGAATTTCGGGCAAATTAGGTCAGTTTTGTCCCAGGATGCGACCCACACCAGTCGACTAACACCCAGGTATCCATTTTATTGATGGGTGAACAGGGACAGCAGGTGTCCTGTGGAAACACGTCCTAATGTTTTCCAGTCGTACCGGGAATTAGAACCCTGGACCTCAGTGTGCTAACGATCGAGTTACATGAGCAGTGTTAGGTAAACATGGTTTTCTCTCGACCATTTAAACCCTGGAGGAAGACGGCCCCTCAAGGAAGGTTCCTTGATGTTGGTGAGGGGCTCTTGATTTAGGGAATTGGATCTGTGCTCCAGTTCCCCGAATTAAGCCTGAATGCCTTCCACATCCCCCCCTTCCCAGGCGCTGTATAATCCTCCGGGTTTAGCGCTTCCCCCTTGATTATAATAATAATAATAATGGAGGAAGACGGGGTATTTTTGCTTGACAAAAGAAATAGAAATATTTTCCTCGAGTCTGATGCCGACCCACTCAGTAGAGCATTTGGCTATATGACAGAGACATTTATCTGGCTTGCTGGTCAACCATGTGATATTGTTATTATTGTTTTTAAAACGTCAGAGCCAAACTTCTAATAGGTAGGAGAAGGAATGACGTCAGGCAGATTCCTTGATCCTAGCTCAAAAATTGATAAATTGGGTGATGACAGTAGGTAGGTAAGGACTTTCATAGACTGTGCTTTGGGTCCCTGTACAGGCGATGTACTTCTTGCAGAATGTGTCATTCAGAGGAGATGGGGAGGTACCTGGAGGCGTCCCGTGACATCCTGCCAGGGGAAATAATCTTGAAGGACTCTCCTCTCGTCTTGGGTCCTCGCCAGGTTAGTGACTAACTTCTTAGGTGCTATTACTGTACTACTATCACCAAAAATTTTGTTATTTACAAATAACCCAGAAATTGGAGATAAATTTTTGACGACGTTTCAGTCAGTCTCTCGCGACTTGATTGTTATTATCACTATAATCAAAAGGAAGTGCTAAACCTACTAGGATCATGAAGCCCGTGACTTGATAATGATCAATGGACCGAAACATCGTCCGATTTTCATCTTCAGTTTATAAGTAAGATGTGAACTGCTCCAGCATCGGTATTTTGACATCTTTTTTTTAATTATACTACATAATTGCCTTGCTGCTCCTACTACTGCTAATGCAGCAGCAGCAGCAGCAGCAACAGAGCAGCTCACTATTACTAAACTTATTACTCCCCTATTGTAATTACTCATGGTATTGTTGCTACTTTTACAAGATTTCCACGCTAATAAAGGGATAAGTGTATGCTAATAAAGTGACAAAGTGTATATTTAATAGCAACACCGCATCTTTGTTAGGATAGAGTCTTCATTGGTTGAGCTGAATGACCCACATTGGTCTTGTTATTCATGTGATTTGTTGAACATACCAGAATATATACATATTTTTTTTTTGGCAGAGTTCATTCAAACTCTTTTCTTAGGCCTTGTATCTTTATAAACCTTAATTTCGCATGTTATTACTGTTAAAGCAAAACTTGTACATAAACATCTTCCACAGACCGGGCCGCGGGGGCGTTGACCCCCGGAACTCTCTCCAGGTAAACTCCAGGTAATATGCCTGAAGATAGTGCCCGAAATGCCCCGGCATGATAGTGGCTTTCTTTGTACTAAACTAATAAAAAATATCAATACATATTGTAACCTTATAAAGAAATAAAATCTTTATCTTTTAAGAAGTAAAGGAAAGTCTGTCTGACAGGTGACGATGCCTGTGTGTCTAAGCTGCTTCACCCCTGTCAACGGTTCCTACTCCTGTTCCCTTTGTGGTTGGCCTTTGTGTGGCCCTGAGTGCCAGACAGTTGTCTTACACAACCCTGAGTGCCAACTCTCCAGAAACAGGTCAGTGTCTAATGCAGCGAGGAGTGTGAGCGGTGGTTATGTGTGTAGTGGTGGCCATATACTAAGAACGTTACAGACGTAAAAAAAAAAAAAATTATTCGGGGGTGGAGTGCTGTCTGCCCCTTAAGCACAACTAACAGCCCAAGGGAAAAGGGGAGGTGGTGTCGTGCAGTCCTACTTTATTAACTGTGATATTGTATAAATTATAAAGGGAAGGATAAGGTATGGCTGAAATTTTAGAATGTAAACGGTATTGCATGTGCAACATTCTACGGGTGTTCATGCAACTTTTGTTAATATATTAGTATGTCATTCTGTACCGGACCTTCAGAAAGGGAAAGAAATAATGACATGGATATGTATACAGAGTGGTGTGTGTGTGTATACTCACCTAATTGTGGTTGCAGGGGTCGAGACGCAGCTCCTGGCCCCGCCTCTTCACTGACCGCTACTGGGTCCTCCCTCTCCCTGCTCCATGAGCTTTATCATACCTCGTCTTAAAACTATGGATGTATGTTGGTATTATAATGTAATCTCCATTTTAGGGATTAAATACTCCTGACTGGTAGTGTACTGATTAGTGGGGTCTTAATGGCCCCCATGTAGTAGATCAAATTTAAACCCAATGAACCTAATAAAAATATTTTGGGGAACCAGAAATAACCAACCTTTCTTAATATCTCTTTTCTGTCAGGCCAATTAAGGTTCAGGTACATAAGTTCATGCAGGTGAACCAGATGTATGAATGTATCACACCACTACGTTGTCTGTGGCTGAAGGAGCACGACCCTGCCAGATGGTCAGCACTCTCTCAAATGGAGTCCCACTTGGAGGAGCGTGTTAATACTGAACTCCATGAAGTCAATCAAGCAAATGTTGTTGACTTCCTATATCATTACCTTAAGGTGACGTCCTTCACACCTGAGGAAATACACACAGTGTGCGGGATTATCGACGTCAATGGCTTTGAGATCCCGGGACCAAATGCAATAGGTATATATGGCAAGGCCTGCCTCTTAGAACATAACTGCGTCCCAAACACAACTAGGACGTTTGATTCCCAATTAAACATCGTCATCAGAGCAGCAGTTAAGATCACAAAGGGAAGCCACATCTCCACATCATATACAGACCCAATGTGGGGCACTGCTAACAGACAGCTGCACTTGAAGACGAGTAAATATTTCAAGTGTACTTGTTCTCGGTGCCATGACCCAACAGAAATGGGCACACACCTAAGCAGTTTGCGCTGTGGCCAGTGCCCTTTGGGATTGATGCTGCCCTCACCCTCGCCTATCAGCCCTCAAATCTGGGTATGCAACTCATGTTCAGCCAAACTTGATCAACAATACGTTGAAGAATTTTTGAAGCAGACTGGCGAGAAACTTGTGAATCTCAAAGAAGGTTCTCTCGCAGCCTCGGAAGCATTCCTGAAATCGACATCATCAAAATTGAGTGAGAATCACTACTACAGGAGTGATGTGAAACTGGCCATGGCACAGATGTATGGCCGTGCAGGAGTCCAAAATAAGTCTGACCTTCATGAGCTCTCGAAAGACCTACTAGACAGAAAAGAGCAACTCTGCCGAGAAGTTCTGGCTCTTGCAGACGTCTTTAGCCCAGGTAAGTGTTACAGTTATTTATTTAGCAAATATTCCAAGCTGTGGCTATAATAATAATCATGAGCTGGAAGTGTTGTATGATGGAAGGTAAAGACCCAAGGGAGAGAAGTGATTTATAACAACACTAATTACAGGTGAATGTAACCAACCCTCTCATAGAGCATTACTATACAACAGTTGCAAAAATGTAGGTTTACCTATAAAGCTATACTAGCCTCCCAAAGGGAGGTACCTAGGTGTGGTGAGGGATTGTTAATCCAATGAATTAGATCCTAGCTCCCCTTCCCCTCAAGGAAGGTTCCTTGATGTTGGTGAGGGGCTCTTGATTTAGGGAATTGGATCTGTGCTCCAGTTCCCCGAATTAAGCCTGAATGCCTTCCACATCCCCCCCCAGGTGCTGTATAATCCTCCGGGTTTAGCGCTTCCCCCTTGATTATAATAATAATAATAATTAGCTCCCCTTCCTCAGATCGAACCGGATTGCCTCCTGTTTACCCCTGGTGCCACATGACCCCTATTTATTTATTTATTTTATATCTTTGCAAACAGTACATTAAGATGGGTTTAATGGGCCTTTCCTGAATCTAATAAAGCAGTGTTAACTGAAAGACTTTGCCAATAACACAAGTTCACTAATTCTTTAAGTTTGTTTATAAACTTGTGCAAGTAGCACGCAAAACTTGTAAGAACATTTATATTATATTCATGGGACAGCACTCAACCCATAAGAGTTATACAATGCCGGGAATGGAAGGTAAATAAGTTTGATCCAAGAAAGGGGAAGGGAGCACCAGTTCCTTGGATCAAGAGCCCTTTATTAACAAGGCACCTTCCTTGAAGGTGCTTTTATATCTTTAGGGAATCTCTAGTGTAACCTAAGTTCAAGATCCTGTGTATATACCTATACCTTTTTCTGCTCTAACAGTTTCTACTTAATTATTTTAACTTGGTATGATAATACTCTACAGTAAGCCTTCACTTAGCATCGTTGATAGGTTCTTGAAACTACGGCATTCAGTGAAACAACGTAGCGAAACCACACCTTGCTGTCCATTGTCAACCTCTGTAAATCTTTTAGTTTTGTTTCTAATGTCACACTTTCTTTTTTTTTGTGGCCACAGACATGAGTGCTAAAGGTACATATTGCACCTTTACCACTCATTGCAACAGAGTTAAATGAAGGAATAAATGTTTGCAAAATGAATATTGTAAGGAGCACCTCCAGCCACCACGCAGTTCAAAGCCAAGCAATAATAAATATGGTGACCTCACTGAGTGCTTTCATACTGCATCATTATTGTTTTGCATTTATATGATTATCGTATACTTTACGAATTTTTATTTTAATAATTTGTATTCATTCAATATTTTTTCTCATCGTTACAACAAAACAACATTATTGGAGGACCTACTGTATTTATTTGTCGAATGTTTGTGTTTGTAGCTCTTATTGCTTATTAATTTTATTATTCTTATTGTATGTCGTGGTGGCCCGTGGCCTGGTAGGCAAAGCTTTCACTTCACATCCCCTCAAGGAAGGTTCCTTGATGCTGGTGAGGGGCTCTTGATCTAGGGAATTGGATCTGTGCTCCAGTTCCCTAAATTAAACCTGAATACCTTCCACATCCCCCCACAGGCGCTGTATAATCCTTCGAGTTTAGTGCTTCCCCTTGGATTATAATAATAATTTCACTTCACATGCTGAGGGTCCATGGTTCGAGTCCCTATACAGACGAAGGCGAAGAATCACAGAGCTGCTGAGAGGGGCCAATATATCTGAAATATGAAGGGAGACACTAGTCAGGGAAATAGCAAATATTGAACTTAAGCTTAAGAAATCTTACAGGAGACGAGAATCTCAGGAAGAACTAAAAGCCATTAAGGAAATTGAAAAAAAAATCAAAATAATTCTTCTCTTATGCCAAGTCTAAGGGTAAAACAACATTCAGTATTGGGCCCCTGCTTAGGCAAGATGGGACCTACACAGATGACAGCAAAGAAATGAGTGAGATACTAAAGTCCCATTACAACTCAGTGTTCAGCAAGCTGTTACCCAAACTAAGGGTCGACAATCTAAGTGAATTCTTTGTGACTGAGACCGAAAATTTGGTCATCTCAAAAATCTGATATTATCCTAACACCACAAGACTTTGAAAAGGCAATAAATGACATGCCCATGGACTCTGCCCCAGGCCCAGTCTCATGGAACTCTGTGTTCATCAAGAACTGCAAGAAACCCCTGTCACATGCCTTCAGCATTCTATGGAGAGAGAGCATAGACACGGGTCATCCCCTACTCACTAAAAACAACAGACATAGCCCCCATCTGCAAAGTACTACAGACAGATAGCACTAACATCCCATATCATAAAAATCTTTGTAAGGGTTCTAAGAAGCAAGATTGCCAACCACACAGACACAACCCAGAGCAACATGGGTTTAGAGCAGGTCACTCCGGCCTGTCTCAGCTACTGGACCACTATGACAAGGTCCTGGATGCTATAGAGGATAAACAAAATGCAGATGTAGTATACACAGACTTTGCAAAAGCCTCCAACAAGTGCGACCACTGTGTAATAGCGCACAAAATGCGTGATAAAGGAATAACAGGAAAAGTTGGTAGATGAATCTATAATTTCCTAACAAATAGAACACAAAGAGCAATAGTGAACAGAGTAAAGTCTGAGGCAGCTACGGTGAAAAGCTCTTTTCCACAAGGACAGTACTAATTCCCATCCTAATCCTCATCATATCTGACATAGAGATGTAAACCATAGCTCCGTGTCTTCCTTTGCAGATGACACCTGAATTGCCATGACAGTGTCCATTGAAGACATCGCAAGGCTCCAAGTGGACATCAGCCAAATCTTCAAGTGGGTCACTCAAAACAGTTAGAAGTTCAATGAAGGGAAATTTCAACTACTCAGATATGGAAAACTTGAGGAAATTAAAACTGTATCGGGGTACACAACAAATTCTAACCATACAGTCGAGCAAAAAATTAATGTGAAGGACCTGGGAGTGATAATGTCAGAGGATCCCACCTTCAAAGACCACAACACTGTATCTTCTGCATCTGCTAGAAAAATGATAGGATGGATAATGAGAACCTTCAGAACTAGGGATGCCAAGCCCATGATGATTCTCTTCAAGGCTGTTCTCTCTAGGCTGGAATACTGCTGTACACTAACTGCCCCCTTCAAAGCAGGCAAAATTGCTGACCTAGAGAGTATTCAAAGAACTTTCACAGCACACATAAGTATGATAAAGCACCAAAATTACTGGGAACAGTTAAAGTCCCTTGATTTGTATTCCCTGGAACACAGGTGAGAGAGTTATGCGATAATATACACTTGGAAATGCTAGAGGGATTAGCACCAAACTTGCACACGAAAATCACTCCCTTTGAAAGCAAAAGACTTGGCAGGAGATACAACATTCCCCCAATGAAAAGCGGAGGCACCACAAGTACACTGAGAGACAACACAATGAGTGTCAGGGGCCCAAGACTGTTCAACTGCCTCCAAGCATACATAAGGGGGATTACCAGTAGACCCCTGGCTGTCCTCAAGAAGGCACTGGACAGGCACTCAAAGTCAGTTCCTGACCAGCCAGACTGTGGTTTGCACATCAATTTGCATGCGGCCAGCAGTAACAGCCTGGGTGATCAGACCCTGATCTACTATGAGGCCTGGTCTCAGACTGGGCTGCAGGGGTGTTGACCCCCGAAACTCTCTCCAGGTATACTCCAGGTAAAGGTGGAAACATTGGGTGTGTTTCCTTACAAATTTACCCTTCAGTAAATTGGATACCTGGGTGTTAGTCACCTGGTATGGGTTGCATCCTGGGACAAAATTGACCTAATTTGCCCAAAATCCTATGCATAACAAGGGGTTCTCTATAGTGTAGTATGGCATTGATGTCAGCTAGGCCTGTATACCTTGTACATGTACTTGTAGATATAAAGATGTTATTATTATTATTGTGTATATAATTTTTTATTGCCGTGAGTGTTGAGTGACCCACATGGTCAAAGTGGATTGAGAATATCACAACCTCTATCAATGTTTACTTCTACAGGGGAAAGCAGACTACGTGGACTGATGAAGTATGAACTTCAGGCAGCATGCATGGAAAAGTTCCGCAGATTACCAAAGAAACTTAAGGCCTCACCCCAGTCTAAAGCCATTCTTCAGGTTGGTAATAGTCAGTGCATTAGTGAATATGAATTAAATTATTTTTATGCTTTGAGATTTAATTTTTGTGTAGCCTGTATGGGCTAGAAATTCATAATTTGGAAGTATGCAAAGTTCATATAGTAAAAATATTACCCAAAGTATTTATTACATAAAAGATGCATGCAAGTAATAAGAATCTTAAAATTACGTATTTAGAATGGATTTAAATGTTAATAATTTTTCATATTGTTATGGAAACAACAGGTATTAGTTATTTTTATATTTGATTGCTTTATAAATTCACTGCAACTGGTTCTTGAGTTCTGGAGGTGGTAAGTACAGTGCCTGCACCCTGGAGGAGGAGCAAGGGTGTTGCAGCTCAGATAGCCATCCAAACTGTGATGTTAGGGCACTTCTGGTAAGATGGCAATTTAGTGAACATTTTTCCTTTTTTTTTGGGGGGGGGGGTCACCCTACTTCGGCAGGAGATGACTAGTATTTTGTAAAAAAAAATTACAATTTCATGCTGTGCCCTGCACTATTTCCTTTGCATGGGTTATGGTACAGGGGACTGGGGTTTTGATTTAGGAGTTGCCTTTCTTGGATCTTGCAACAACTGATACAGGTCTAGTTTAACAGTATACTATATTTTATTTTACACCTAATTTCAAGAATGAAGTCCCCATGTTAAATAACTAATAATTGTTTTTGTCTGTTCATATACAGCATCTCTGTCTGTTTATCCCTATCATTTAAGCAGTTAGTTGGACTTGAGTTTTGGAGGTGGGAGGAACAGTGCCTGTGCTCTGAAGGAGGGGTGAGGATGTTGCATTTGGGAGGGTTATCTGAACTATAATGCCAGCAACTTCTGGCAAGATAGTGATTAAATGAGTGACCATAAAAGTGTTTTTTTCTTTGTTGGGTCACTTTACCAGGTACAGTAGAAGATGGCTGGAGTGTTGCAAAAATCATCTAAAATATGCATAATACATAATACAGTATTTCACTACTACAGGAATGTGAAGAGGCTCTGAAGGATGCAAGCACCATCTTACTGCGTGAATCACCCATCCAGGATGAGTACCAATTGGGACTTCAGGCAGAAGCAGAGCTGGCTGATGTTACTGCCCTTATTTCTAAATTTCGCTGACTTACTAAAGGAGCACAGAGGGTAAGTTTTCAATATTGAGGCTAGAAAGAGCAGTATAGGAAATGATGACAAAGTTATGAAACATGGTTTAGTATCGACAGCAATGTTTTCTACAAAGCAGATGAGCCATTTAAATAAATGTAGAAACAAAAATGGTGAACCAAGCAAGACACAAAGCAAAACAGTACACACATTGTTAATCTGTAAGCATTAAAATGTGAAATATAACGGTAAACTCAGTTTAATGGACTTTGGAAATACAAGACAAAATCTCTTGCAGCAATTGGCAGATAAGGAGCCTTTAGACTTCAGGCAGGGGTTTCCATATTTTAGGGCATTTTATGCACATTGAGTTTTTGGTAGATAAGACACATAGGCAACATTTAGGCAACTTTATTCCGAAACGTTTCGCCTACACAGTAGGCTTCTTCAGTCGAGTACAGAAAGTATGCGGGAGCAGTAGAGATGTAAAGACGATGTAATCAGTCCATCACCCTTGAAGTCGTAGAATTTGAGGTTGTCAGTCCCTCAGCCTGGAGAAGTTCAGTTCCATAGTCAGGAACTATCTGAAGATCAAGCGACAGTGTTGAGACTTAAATACTGTCTGAAGGAGAGGTGCAGAGTAGTAGTAGTGAGAATGTAGCCACTGAGAGGTCATGTTCCTCTCAGATCAAACAGTTCTCACTTGAAAAAGTTGTTCAAGGTGTTTTCTCTTCTGTACAAAGATGCCATTGTGTTGCAGTGTCTGACAGAGTGATTATCAAATGGCATACAATACCGACAGGTTGGTAGATAAGACACATAGGCAACATTTAAGCAACTTTATTCCGAAACGTTTCGCCTGCACAGTAGGCTTCTTCAGTCGAAAGTATGCGGGAGCAGTAGAGATGTGAAGACGATGTAATCAGTCCATCACCCTTGAAGTCGTAGAAATTTGAGGTTGTCAGTCCCTCAGCCTGGAGAAGGGTGATGGACTGATTACATCGTCTTCACATCTCTACTGCTCCCGCATACTTTCTGTACTTGACTGAAGAAGCCTACTGTGTAGGCGAAACGTTTTGGAATAAAGTTGCCTAAAGTTGCCTATGTGTCTTATCTACCAACCTGTCGGTATTGTATACCATTTGATAATCACATTGAGTTTTTACACAGGTTGAGTCGGACTTGAGGGATATCAGAGATTTTTATTTCTACATCATTGGGTAACACTGCTTCACTAGCATAAGTAAGCAGTAAACCCCGGAGCTGTTGTTCTACCACCAGTTTCCCTACCAGCAGACAGGGTGTGGAAGTGCCACAAAGATGCCTTATTTATTCCAATTTTATTACAATTTCCTTAGCCCTACCTACAAGATGTCATTCCTCCTTGTCCAGTGCATGAAATCACTCCCTCTCTTTCTTCATTAACATGTAACAGCTCCTAAAAATATTTTCTCCATCTGCCCATCTGACATCTTTCTATTCTTGTTTAATTTTTTTTTTTTCAACAAACTGGCCGTATCCCACCAAGGCAGGGTGGCCCAAAAAGAAAAACGAAAGTTTCTCTTTTTAAATTTAGTAATTTATACAAGAGAAGGGGTTACTAGCCCCTTGCCCCCAGGCATTTTAGTCGCCTCTTACAACACACATGGCTTACGGAGGAAGAATTCTGTTCCACTTCCCCATGTTTAATTGTCAGTTCTATTTTGCTCTCTAGGCTTTCTCAACTTATTAATTGCACTCCAAAACTTTATTATACTCTGCAAAATTTCGTTATAAACCCTAACTCCTCCTCATTGGCTCTCCATTTGCACTCTGTCAGTGCTCTTTCAAGAGTGCTGAGGGAGTGAAAATGGAAAGTCAGTGGGAGAATGGGTGAGGCTTTATCAACACATGCTAACTAGTGATATAAATACAAAGCTATCATGTAGGATTTTTATTGTGAATGTAAGCTATTTCCAAATCAGGAAACATTTACTGAAATATTTCACCTACAGCTTGATTTAATATGTATGGTTGATGGAGTACTGTTTTGTAAAGCCTAGATAATTACAGGTTTCAGATATTTTTTCTGAAACAAGAAAGGGCCAGATTTTAGTTGTAAAGGTAGGAAGCACAGTGCCTGCACTCTGGAGGGATGGAGATGTTGCAATTCAGAGGGTCATTTAAATTGTGAAGTCTGTGCTCTTCTGGCAAGATTGTCACTGAAAGAATGATAGTGAATATGTTTCCTTTTCTATGGGTTGCCCAGTTTTAATGGAAAAAAGCTGGTATGCTAGAAAAAAAGGGTTGCAGTCCATTCTTGAGTTTTGTTAGTGAATGTTTGAAGATGAAGTGGATGCACTTAGCTTTATATTGATCTAGTGAATGTTCAATTTGCACAATTTCATAATAATCTTGAATGTTAGAGTTCTCAGGTTTAGAGCCAGCTGTTGTATTTCTTAATTTTGCAGCCACTCATCTTTGATAGAAGTGATTATTTTTTGAAGATGTGATCAGATGCCTTGATGTTGGAAAGTAAAAAAAAAAAACATATGTACTAGTTTTGTATAAGCTGCAGGTTGCTCTGCTGGGTTTCTCTTCTGTTTAGAGGAGCAGTGTGATATTAAAATTAATCATTTCATTGTCTCTTACACTGAGGCCAGTGTCACTCACATAGACCTGTCTTAGTGTCCTCAAATATACAGTGAGTGGTAAATTTTGGCTTAGATATGAGAGAGTGGGTGTGTGGTGGGTATGTGTGTACAGTATAAAAAAAAATCCTGCCCCCATGCAGTACATAATGGAAGAGCTAATCTCCAATCTTATGTTTTGGTTAAAATGGTAACTTTGAGACATTTTATAGGGTGGTTTTCATGTTTTATTGGCTGGTTCATGGTGTCAGTTAATGGACCAGAAGACTTACTAGAGTAATGTTGACAATAGTATACAATATGAACTGGTACATGAGTAAGACACATGTGGAACTGCTGGGTATCTTTATTGCTCCTACATGGTGGACTTCTTTGGTCAAATACAGAGGAGAATAAATTGGAGACAGCAGGAGGAGTGTCAAGGTAAAGATGTGATCAGTCCATCAACCTTGGAGAAACAGATTTTGAGGTGGTCAATCCCTCAGCTTAGAGAATAGCTCAGCTCCATAGCCTCCAATTTATTCTTCTCCATATTTCACTGAAGCTTACCAAGTAGGCAAAATGTTTCAACAATAAAGATACCCAACTATTGCACATGTTTTACCTGTCGACTTATTAGTGATACGGAGATGATTTTAGTCGCTTGTCAATCAGAAGTGGCCTGAAATTGGCAGGGGCAGGGGGCTTCCCACACTGTTTTATGTTTTTTTTTAGGTTTCCTTCAAGTATTTAGATGGCCTAAATTATGACCAATCATTCTTGGTTATATTTTATTAACCGAGAAATGGGGTTTAAATTAAAACCATTTTGCGTGATGAATACAAAATGAAGGGCAAGTGTTATATAGAAGAGGCCTGGGAGGTGTTTAATAAACACAAGAAAGGTTGTTTTAGTGACCAGAATGTCTACATTGTTTACACTGGATGTTTTTTATATTAAAATTTGTTGAATTTTTGTGTAAAATTGCCAGATTACTGACTTCTGGACACTATAGTGTAGTTCTGCTAGTTGTATGGGCAATTTCTTGTTTTCAGCATAATATTCAGGAATTGGGTCAGTTCGAGCAATGGAAATGACTTAAAATAGGCCTAAAATTGTGCAGAATCACAGTTCCACCTTCCTGCCTGCATAATTCTTTAAATTTTCCATCAGATTTTGCATTTTTAGTGTCATTACCTTTAGAAAAAGATTCCCTATTATTTTTCAATTGTGACACTGATGAAACCTAATTTTGGGAGTCTCAACATTGTAAAAGTTTAACCCTTAACCCTTTCAGGGTCCAAGGCCCAAATCTGGAGTCACGCACTAGTGTCCAAGAATTTAAAAAAAAAAAATTTGTTATTTTTTCTTATGAAATGGTAGAGAATCTTTTTGTGAAGGTAATAAAACAAAAAGTACGAAATTTGGTGGAAAATTGACGAAATTATGCTCTCGCGAATTTTGATGTGTCAGCGATATTTACGAATCGGCGATTTTGCCGACTTTGACTCCCATTTTAGGCCAATTACATTATTCCAGTCAACCAAATTCTTAGCTATTTCACTAGTATTACTTCTATTCTATCGATTGAGCACAAGAAATCGCCAAGTCAACTGTTTCAACTACAAAATAAAGTGATCGGAAATTGTTAATTTGGCCAATTTAACACAAAGTTCAAAATATTCCAATTTCAAAATAGGGTCCAGAATGAACAATGTAGGCATTCCTGGCACTAAACTAACATTTCCTCTGTTCATTAGTTATGTTTTGAGGCTTTACAAATAAATTCCATTTTGATTTTTTATTCACATAATGAATTTTTATTCACACCAAAAAATAGAAGATTTACTGTTATGCAATACTGTAATAATTGTATAAATATCATCACCATATTTGTGAATGTATATTAGACCCACCAGCTGATGTGTATTAGACGTGTGAGGTCGTTTGTTTACTCTTGAATATCGGCAAAAATTTAACATTTCTGCTACTTTGAGCTCAGTTTCAAGCCATTTCCAGTGCTAAAACCAATCAAAATCATCTCTATTTCTGTAATATGTCTTCCATTCTCTCAAATGAGACCAAGAAATCGCAAATACAACTATAAAAAACATACGAAAAAACACTGCAAGGTTGCTGTTTTAATCGAAAAATCATGATTTCATTTTTTTTCTCTCATTATACACAGTGTGCTGCAGGATCTGTTTTATGTGGTGCACGCATACCACATAGATGTATTCTCTCATATCTAGGCCCAAATGTACCACTCACAGTTTATCAGAGTGAGCTGAGCTCATGGCGTAGATCTACGGTTTGGACCCTGAACGTAAAGCCGTAGATCTATGGGACGGACCCTGAAAGGGTTAAACTGTCCAAATGTAGATCTACGTTCACTTGCGTGGCGCTCTGAATATTTTGAAAAATAAAAAAGTTTTTTTTTTTTTTTTTTAAATATAGAGCACATTTTTCTACATGTTATAGGATAAAAAATTTTTTTTGGGTCAGTACTTACCAAGATACAAGACCGTGAAGTTGGCTCTGGATGTTCACCTGACAGCAACATCGATTCCTGCTGCTTGCAGAAGTGTTGCTGATATACCTATTTTTCTCATTTTTATTTGAATTTTTATATTTTTTATGTTCTGATAGGAAGGTAGGGGTAAGGGAGGTTTTGTGGGCAAGGGGCTTGGACTTCCAGCAGGCGTGCATGAGCGTGTTCGATAGGAGTGAGATAAGATAAGATTTCGTTCGGATTTTTAACCCCGGAGGGTTAGCCACCCAGGATAACCCAAGAAAGTCAGTGCGTCATCGAGGACTGTCTAACTTATTTCCATTGGGGTCCTTAATCTTGTCCCCCAGGATGCGACCCACACCAGTCGACTAACACCCAGGTACCTATTTGCTGCTAGGTGAACAGGACAACAGGTGTAAGGAAACGTGTCGAAATGTTTCCACCCGGCGGGAATCGAACCCAGGCCCTCCGTGTGTGAAGCGGGAGCTTTAGCCACCAGGCCACCGGGCCACCGGTGACGAATGGTATTTGGGACCTGATGATCTCTTGGAGTGTGAGCAGGGTAATATTTAGTGAAGGGATTCAGGGAAACCGGTTATTTTTATATAGCCAGACTTGGTGACGTGTACTTAGCGCTGTGAAGACCTGTTTGTGTGCTCTCTGTGAATCTGTACCAGGATGCCCTCTCTTGAGCAACTTTACCAGCAGCTGAGAGAAGAGCTCAGAGTTGCTAAGATGGAGATACGGCGATTAACGGAGGAGAACAAGAGGATTCGTAGTAATCCTTCTGTTGTGAGTCCCCAGGTTAAGAAGGGAGCTTGGTCAGTGGCCGGGCAACATGGAACCAAGCTGAAGATCAAGAAAACGGTTGGAGAGGCAGAAACAACGAGAAACCAGAAGACTACCGTGGAAACTTCCAACTCATTCTCGGTGCTACCTGACGAATGTGAGTGTTCTACTGGGAATGCCCACAACGAGCACCAAAGAAGCATTGGCAACGTGAGTAAGACATCCCTAAAACCCCAACGAAGCCATCGAGAACGTCTTGACGAATTCTACAAGTGGTGAAATGCTACCTGGCGAATGTGAGTCGACTACTCGGAGCATCACGACGGACGACGCCAAGGAAGGTAAAAACATTGTGTTTTTGGGGATAGCCAGATTAGGTACATGGATAGGGCATTCTGCTTGAAGGATAGGAGTAGGAGGCAGAGAGTGTGTTTTCCTGGGGCTGGGATGAAGGATTTTGTTAGCCGTCTGGATGACATCATGAGAGGTAAGGGGGGAGCAATCCTATTATCTTGTCTCAGTGCTGGAGGCAACGATTTTTGGCAGACGTAGGGTGAGGACCTGATTAGCAGGTATGGGTCAGCAATAGAGATAATTAGGAGGAAAGGGGGTGGGAAACCTGTCATATGTGCATTTTGCCAAGGAGAGGAGTTGGAAATGAATGGTTGTCCAGAGCAATTGGTGTCAATTGCTGGCTGGACAAATACTGTAAGGAAAATGCGGTAACATTTATTGACAACTGGGACCTCTTCTATGGCAGAAATGACATGTATGCCCGGGATTGGGGTTCACTTATCTAGGTCTGGGGGGGGACACTGGCAACTGCAGTGGAGGGAGCTGTTAGGTCTTTAAACTAGGAATAGTTAGTGGTATGGGTTTTGGCGGGAAAACTGTGAAGTCGCAGGGTAGTAACATGAGTACTAGGAGAACTAGTTTAAAAGGCAAAATGAGGTGGATATTGGAAAGCAGTGGCACTAATTGACAAGGACAGTAATAGGTTTAGTGGAATAACAGAAAGGAGGGAGGAAGGGGAAAGAGAGGGGGGTCATTAAATATTTATTACACAAATAGTCGCAGTGCTAGGAATAAGATGGACGAGTTGAGACTAGTTTTCTAGTGCAGGTAACATAGATGTATTTGCCATTACTGAGACGTGGTTTTAATTCAAAAAGTCGGGACAGGGTTGCAGAATGTCACATTCAGGGTTTTAAATTGTTCCAAGTAGATAGAAGTGTCGGGAAGGGGGGTGGGGTGGCATTGTATGTCCGATATCGCTTGAACTGTTGCATAAAAACGGGGATTAAGTCTGAAGTAACACATACAGAGTCTGTTTGGATAGAATTTTCAGAGGGGCATGAAAAATTAATTTTAGGGGTGATATCCGTCCCCCAAATTTAGATAGGGACCAGGGGAGACTACTATGGGTAGGAAATTGTTAGGGCCACAAGGCACGAAATGTAGTAATTCTAGGAGACTTTAACTTTATCATATTGATTGGAATTTCTTGACTGGGGAATTAGAATCATACGATTTCTTAGAAGTAGTTCAGTATTGTTTTTGAAGCAGTTTGTGACAGAACCTACAAGGGTAATAACCTGCTTGGGCTTAGTTCTGGGAAACAATGAATCCCTTGTTAATAATTTAGAAGTTTCAGGGGGAACTGGGTGCAGCGACCACAAAACAATTACATTTAGAATTGAATGGAAGTATGATAGTAGGGATAAACTCAGTAACAGTCCCAGATTTTCGCTTAGCAGATTACGAGGGGCCCTTAGAGAACCTTATCTGTTGACGGGGGTAACGAAGAGAGCTATCAATAGACAGTTTTCTGAACACAATACATGCTGCTCAAAGAACGTTTTATCCCTTAAAAGGGAAAATTAGATCAAATAGAAATGACCCAAAATGGATGAATAATAGGCTGAAATATCTACTAGGGCATAAGAAAGGAATTTATAGGCGTATCAAAAGAGGCGAGGGTCATCTTATGAATCAGTATATTGACATTAAGAGGGACATTAAAAAGGGGTAAGAAAAGCTAAAAGGGACTATGAAATTAAAGTTTGCTAGGGGTTCTAAAACTAACCCAAAAAGTTTTTTCCAAGGTCTATTGAACAAAAGTCAGAGATAAGATAGGTCCCCTTAAAAATAACTATGGGCATCTTACTGACAAAGAGGGAAAGAAATGTGTCGATTTTAAATAATTATTTTCTCTCGGTTTTTACACAGGAAGACACTAAAAATATTCCGGTAATTAATTTTTATAGTGGATCAGAAGAAGATAAATTATGTAACATCACAGTCACTAGTGAAATGGTTTTTGAAGCAGATAGACCGACTGAAGCAAAATAAGTCACCGGGTCCTGGGTGAGGTTTTTTCAAGGGTTCTTAAGGAATTTCAAAATGGAAGTCTGTGAACCATTAATTAATATTTTTAATTTATCTCTTCAAACAGGTGTAGTGTCTGATATGTGGAAGATGGCTAATGTAATTCCTATTTTTAAAACAGGGGCAAGTCGTTACCGTCAAATTACCGCCCAATAAGCCTGACCTCAATTGTAGGCAAATTACTAGAGTCAATTATAGCTGAGATTATAAGAAGCCATCTCGATAAGCATAGCTTGATTAAGGATACTCAGCATGGATTCACAAGAGGCCGGTCTTGTCTAACTAATTTATTAACTTTCTTCAGTAAAGCTTTTGAGGCTGTTGACCACAATAAAGAATTTGATATTATTTACATAGATTTTAGTAAGGCTTTTGATAGAGTTCCGCACCATAGACTGTTAAAGAAAGTGGCAGCTCATGGCATTGGGGGAAGGGTGCTCTCGTGGATCGAATCATGGCTCACGGACAGGAAGCAGAGAGTGTCCATGAATGGGGTTAAATCCGAGTGGGGATCAGTAACAAGTGGCGTTCCACAGGGATCAGTCTTGGGCCCGTTGTTGTTTATAATATATATCAATGATCTTGATGAAGGAATTACTAGTGATATGAGCAAATTCGCCGATGACACGAAGATAGGTAGGATAATTGATTCAAACGTAGATGTTAGGGAACTTCAGGAGGATTTAGACAAACTCTACTCTTGGTCAGAAAAGTGGCAGATGCAGTTCAATGTAGATAAATGCAAGGTTCTGAAGCTCGGGAGTGTCCATAACCCTAGCACTTATAAGTTAAATAATGTAGAACTTAGCCATACAGATTGCGAAAAGGACTTGGGGGTTATGGTAAGCAGCAACCTTAAACCAAGACAGCAATGCCTAAGCGTACGTAATAAGGCAAATAGATTACTGGGATTTATATCAAGAAGTGTAAGCAACAGAAGTCCAGAGGTCATACTGCAGCTTTATACATCATTAGTAAGGCCTCACCTAGATTATGCAGCTCAATTCTGGTCTCCATATT